TGAATCTGCCCCTAGTTGCTGTCGGCCCCACCTGGCAGAAGGGTTACACTTTTACTGTCTCCGGCTGTGGACTTTCCATCTTTGTTTATTATCTGTCCCAAAAATTAAATTTGGGGTAGGCAGAAAATGCTGACGAATTAGGCTTAGGACTCTGTTGACAGTTTTGTTGTTGTTCCATAGAAGATTCATATCTCAGAATATCATCCATGAAAATGACAGCTCCATTTCTTTTCCTTAACAATTCTGCTGTCTTTCTTTGGAAAATTTCGGGTGCACTGATAAAATATAATGTTCAAAAGCAAAATCGCTCAAAGGGTGTGATAAGTGTAGTCAGTTTAGCACTTTCTTTGGCTAAAGGAATTTTCCAGAATCTGCATGAGGCACCTTGCTTGGAGTATACTGTAGCTCCTTTCACTTTGGGAGGAAGTCATCCAATAGTAGGAGGAAATATTTTTCTATTACAATTGCTTCATTAAGTCTTTAAGATCCATATGGATTCATATTTTTTCCATTTTTCTTTATAACTGGTAACGTTGGGACACACCCATGTTGTTGGCTCAGACTGGCATAATCAAGAGAATCTGCTCCATTCTCTTTAACTCAGTATGAAGTAATGGGAAAGGAATCCTATGGGGTGAATGTACACTATATGGTTCTGCATTGTCTTTTAAGGTTATTTGTACTGGATCTTCTTTCAAAAGTCCAATATCACCAAATATTCTATTGAATTCTTCCACCTTTCTCACTAGGCCCATCATGGCTGCCACACTGAAGCCAAGAGGCTGTTGGTCTGTGGTCCTTTGATCACATAGACTCTGAATGCATAGCTTTGTCTGTGTAAGTTGTTTCTGTGGTGTACTGGTCTGTGCAGTTCAGAATACCTCTAGGGCCAGTCAGAGCTGTGGCAGGTGACTTCAGTTCTGGAAGGGGTTGAAGGTGACTCTAAATCCCTTATGACAGTGTTTCCCAAACTTGGGATGCCGCTTGTGTAGGGAAAGCCCCTAGCGGGCCGGGCCAGTTTGTGTACCTGCCGCGTCCACAGGTCCAGCCGATTGCGACTCCCACTGGTCACGGTTCGCCGCTCTAGACCAATGGGAGCTGCTGGAAGCAATGGCCCGTACATCCCTCGGCCCGCGCCACATCCAGCAGCCAGGGCCGCCCAGGGTGGGGGCAAGTAGGACAATTTGCTTCAGGCCCCGGGCCCCGCAGGAGCCCCCACGAGAATATAGTATTCTATAATATTGCAACTTTTTTTTATGGAAGGGGCCCCCGAAATTGCTTTGCCCCAGGCCCCCTGAATCCTCTGGGCAGCCCTGCCAGCAGCTCCCATTGGCCTGGAGCAGCGAACCGCGGCCAGTGGGAGCCGCGATCAGCTGGACCTGCCAACATGGCAGGTACACAAACAGGCCCGGCCCGCCAGGAACTTTCCCTACACAAGCGGTGTCCCAAGTTTGGGAAACACTGCCTTATGAGATGACTGTGACATCAGCTACTGAGTCAATTTTTAAAGTCAATAATCTTGCCATGAATATTCAGTTTCATTCTCCAGGAAGCCTCTATGTCAACAGTAATAAACCCTGAAACAATGGCTCTTGATTGTCTGCAATATGAATCAACTCCTTGACTAACTTGGTGTGGCAAACAGCAACAAAATGTCCATATTTTATGCATTTATTACAGTATGTGCCTCTGGTTGGATTTGCATCATCTCTTGGGATATGACTTTTTTCCGCACCTTGTGCATGTAGCCTGGAATTTGTCCCTTGTAGTCGGGAAGTTCTCTCTCCTTGTCTCAGGGGTTTTATTATAATGACTTTTAACACTCATGTGTTTATCTACAATTTCTAAGCCAGTTTCAAGTTTTTTAGGTTTGTCAAATTGCTCTAGATTTTGCTGTTTTACCAGCTCAGACTACTTTGCTCTCTATGTAGCTGTTGCTGGGGTTAAATCTCTCTTCAGTTGTAGCTGATGTGAAAGGTTTTTATCTGTTAACCCAGTGAGCAGCCTGTCTCTAATATTTTCATGTTTTGCATTCCCCAAATCACAGTTTTCAGCCAGTTATGCAGAGCTCTTAAAAAACATTCAACATTGTCCCCTGGTTCTTGAATTCTTTGGTGGAAACATACTCTTTCATAAACCACATTTCTCTGAGGTATAAAGTATGCATCAAACATAGCCAGAACCCTTTCATATTCCTCTTTGTGACTGTCTTTGGTAAAGTCAAAAGATTTAAAGATATGCTCTGCCTGCTTGTCCATAGCATAGATTAAAGAAGATACCCTGTATATCTCCACTTTCTTTTTAGAGCACAGTGCAATGTGAAATCTTGTTTCCAATCTGTCCATGCTGAAAGTTTGTCAAAGCTGAAGTTCTCTGGAGCATTTAAGAGTGTCATTTTGATGAGATCTTGCAGGCTTTGTTCCTTCTGTTTCTGTTCTTAGTTTACTCCTGACACCATGGCATGTACTTCTGTATCAGATATGGACTGGCTACAGGGCTTGCTTATACACACCAAATGTGTTCATCATAAAATCCTTTAGTGGTCTGCCCGGTATGGCTAGACTTAGCTTTAAATAAGGTATTTTACACACAGTGCCACTTAGTGGCTGAACAGTATAATACAGTTTAGCATTCCATTATAATTGCTGGGACAAGGTGGGTGAGATAATAAAAAAATATTGGACCAACATCTGTTGGTGAGATGGACAAGCTTTTGAGCTTACACAGATCTCTTCTTCAGGTCTGGAAAAAAGCTGGTTCAATAAAAATATTACCTCACTTTGTCTCATTAATATCCTGGGACCAACATAGCTACAACACTGCATAGAATAACCGCAGCATTTTAAATCACTGTACACACAAAAGAGGCTTGATTCAGAACCACATTATTCCAGTGTTACTCTGCTGCAACTCCACTGAGTAATGCCGTGATCAGGCACAAAAGATCCTATGAGCTCACAAAAGAGGTCTGATTCAGAACCACATTATTCCAGTGTTACTCTGCTGCAACTCCACTGAGTAATGCAGTGATCAGGCACAAAAGATCCTATGAGCTCTCCTGGTCCTACATAACTCAGGAGCATAAGCCAGAGCTCATTTTCATTAGAATGGGGAGTGGAAGTGAAATTTGGATTTACTAATTATTCTTAGCCCGCGAGAGCCTCCGTGTGTGACCTTGGCCTTTAAGATGTATGAGTAATGTCCGCGAAGAAGGAAGCATGACATGAAATAGCAGCGTGTGACATCAGATGAACACTTTTAATACAAATAAAGCTTTTAGTCCTGAGGGCATTCTGTGCCAAAAAATTAAAAATTCTGTGCCAAAAAATTAAAATTCTGCTCACAATATTTTAAATTTTTGCAAAATTCTGCAAATTTTATTTTTCAAATAAATGTGGAAGCAGTGAGGAGCACAGTCCACTGGCTGCACAGAGGTGGGAGATCACTGTGCAGCTCCCCTACACATCCGGGACATGGACTCAGCGGTGAGGCTGCACTCAACCCTGACACAGCACAAGGATCAGGCCTGTCCCAGAAACACCCCAGGGCCCTGCCCCTCCATGCCAGGTGCACCAGATGTGGGCAAGCAGGCTCAGCAAGGCAGGATGCAAGTGTGGAGGGGCTTCGTGTCGGGTGTAAGAGGGTTCTGTGTGGGCCAATCTGGGTGGAGGCGGCTCAGTGGGGGATCTGATTGCACAGGGGCTTGTTGGGGAGGGTCTGGGTGCAACGTTAATGGTACTCTGCAGGGGAGTCCAGATGAAAGTGGTTGGGGCTCAGCAGGACAGGGTTTGGGTGTGTGGGATAAAGCTTGGCAGGAAACTCTAGGTTTGTGGTCTCAATGCGGGGTTCAGATGCTGGGGGAATAGGGCTCAGTTGGGTGGGGATCCAGGTGCAGTTGGTTGGGGCTTGGTGCGGTGGGGATCTGGGTGGCTTGTCAGGGTGGTCTAGGGAAAGTTGGGCTCATTGGGAGGAGGTTCCAAGTACGGGATGGTGAGGCTTGGCGGGAGGATCTGAGTATGAGGGGGTCTGGATGCATGGGGGTTGAGCGGATGGGGGAGCAGCTCACTGTACATGGATCCTTCCTCCTGCTGAGGGGGGTGGGTGAGAAGCAATGGGTGCAAGAAGTGGGGGAGGAGTTTGCAAAGCATTCTGCAACTGGGGTCTCATCTGGCCCTGGATGACATGCAGGGAAAGAGGAAGTCCCGTCTTCCCCAGCCCAGCCGGGACTAGCGGCTGAGCCCAGCACAGGGTAGGAGCCCCAGCCAGGTCTTCCCCAGTCCCGCCCCCTACCCCATAATGATTTACCTCTCTGCCAGCTGCCCAAGGCACCTGAAACATACTGCAGAGGAGGGTCGGATGACCACTCTTTTGATTTCCTCATCAGAAAGTCATTTTTCTGCGGAGAAGAAAAGAAATCTGTGGGGGACATAAATTCTGCGCATGCGCAATGGCACAGAATTCCCCTAGGAGTAAGCTTTTATGTTTCAACACGTGATCCTGATTTACAGAAATGAACAGTGGAATAACAGCAGTAGTAAATGTTGGTGTAAAATGAGTGACAGGCTTTGTATTCGTGTACAGTAAAAGGTACATTTAGTCCTGTATTGCAGCATAATAAAGTTTGCCATTGTATCAGAGAAGTAAAGGTCCTCTTCATTCTTAATTACCTTTTGAAATAATACACTGGCTAAAACTTTTCACTTAAAATCTTCCTAGGTAAATATTGTTGATTACACTCTTGACATGGGGAATGAACAGGGGAAGAAAGAGGAGGTGGTATAGCATAAGGTGGCAATCTGCTGACTGCAATGAGCTCCAGGTCTCTTCAGGGGAAATAAAATCAGAAGGAAATCGCATTGAGTAAAATTCACCCCAGTGCAGAGGGCAGTGGTACCAGTTTCAAACTTTTAAGGTCATGAATCAGGCCCCAAAACATCAGGAGAATGGCATAAAAAACATGAAATTATAAAAAATAATAAATTAGGACATTTTTTTAAACTTGCCTGCTGATTGTGAGTCTTTATCGTTTCAGTTTCTAAAAAGTTTTTGCCCCTCGGAGTTGCAGAGAAAAGCCTGTTAACGAAAGCTGGGATTCTCATGCAATAAAAAGACTCTAGGAGCTGTGGATATAGAAAAACATGGTGAGATTCTTGATAAAATCATGACTTGGCACATTGAGGGAGCCAGCAGAAGGCCTATGCACACTGGAATCACTTCAAAATAAGATTTAATAGGCCTCACGCTGGCTCCTTGCATGGGGGGAAATTTCATCTGGTCTGAGCGGTTGTTTACAGGGCCAGTAGCTGACAGTAGGGAACATTGGTATAGATGTCAGCGGAGCTCCCCAAAAAGATCCATACTATTCTGGCTGTAACTGGAAGGGGGGAAATCATTTCCTGAAACAATAATGGTGTGAATGGTAAATAAGGCATTGGCCATGGTGACAGAGAGGTGAACTGTCATAAAGCCTGGTGTCCAGGGGCTTCACAAGTATGTCCTCTGTAAGCAAAGTCTGGGTAGTCTGATCAAGCAAACCCTGTTTACTCTTTGTTTTCTGAATAGGGAGACAGTAGGGACATGAACCACTATTTTAATGCTGTCATCATTCAAAGATAAAAATATAAAGGTAAAATTGCATTTAATCCAGGGGTTCTCAGGACAAGTTATTTGGTGGCCTCGGAGTGCAGCTGGTGGCCACTCTCACATTTTTTCCTAAAATACTTAATTAGCTTAGGAAAAATAAATAAATATGCACATATACACATCCAAGTCACTGTAATTTATTTATTGCTAGCTAGTAAATCTGCTGTGAAAAGTGATATTAACAAACATATAAGTATCATTTTTCACAGCAGATGTACTCAGCCCCAGCAAGTCTGGGGACAAATTAAGCCCTGGATGTGGGGGTTGGGGGAGGCAGCAGCAGGGGCCAAGGGCGATGGGGGGGGTTGGCTGGGAGAGACAGCAGGGGGCTGGAGCCTGAAGCCCAGCAATTAGGGGATGGAACCCAAAGCCACAGTGCTGGAGCCCAAAGCCTCGTGGCCAGAGCGTACCTCCACACCACCCCCAGGCTGAAGCCCAAAGCCTGAGCCCCACCATCCCTGGGAAGGTGGGGAACTCACCAACTGCCCCTGGAGTTGCCTCCAGCATTGTGTCTCAGGTTTCTCCAGAGGGGGGTCAGGGCCCAATCCTTGCTGGAAGCCCCAGCAACCAACACCAAGGCATCCAGGAGCACCAGGGAGGAGCCGCTGCTTCCCCCCCCTCCATCACAGCCCAGGAGGCTGTGGCCGCATTTGGGAAACGCTGATTTAATTCAGCGTTTAATTCTGGCACAGATAGAATAGATGATTTAACAGGTGTTTTCCACCTCTCTAATTTGATTTTATGGGCCCTTTAGTTGCTTGTTGCCACTCTGGTGATACAAAGCAGATGGAAATTCAGTTTAAACTGATTATTACTTGGGAGTTCTCCTTGCAAAGGTGGAATTGCAAGGTGGTATAGAGTTGATGTAGCGGCTCTGCACCACCATCACCACACCCATTCTCAACCCCTAACATCATAGGCATGATTACGGTTGCCAATTATGGTTGGACATATTCCTGGAGGTTTCATCATATGACATAAACTTTAATTAAAGATTGAGCTTTAATTCCTGGAGACTCCAGGGCAATCCTGGAGAGTTGGCAACCTTAGGCATGATCAGACACAAAGGGGACATGACCACAACACCTCTGTGCCCAGACTATTCTGGGAGGTCAGAATGGCCCCGTTGTTGAGGTAAAATATTGTTTTGGTATGTTTCTCCTCTAATCTCCATCTTGTTCTGTAAAAACAAGTAGGACTCCATTCTGGACACCCTCCTTCATGGAGAGCTTCTCACTCCTCCTTTTGCCTCTTTCAAATTAGAGCAGGAAAACCAGGGAGTGGTTAAAACATATGACTGTGTAGTCTGCCTAGCAACAGCAGACTATATAGATGATAGCCTCGGGGCTGTCCATCCTAAAGGCAGCCAGTGTCTCCCACGTTACCAGCCTGTGGAAGGAGTCCAGCTAGGCCAGGATTATAGGTGTCAGGTTCCATCGGCGTCATACACTGCATGCACCCGTTCTCCTTTTTCCACCTATGAGTCCGCACACTACCACTCAGGATGACGCATAGGGGACAGAAGACAGAAGAAAGGAGACAAACCACTTACCTGGTGATCGTCGCATCCTGTTCCACTGTTCCTGTGGTCCAGCGTTTCCAGTTTTCATTGGTTCTGTCCTGGATTCATTGCGGAGTCAGGGTTCGTTGCATGGGACAGTTGGGGTCCATCCCTTGGACAGTCAGGGTTCGTGCCTAGGACAAAGAGAGAGATGGTACGGTAGTTTCCTTTTATTGTCTTTTGGCTATCCCAGTGTATCAGGTTTGCGGGTTCTGGACTTCAAGTCCATTTTCATCTGCTGTTAACAACCAAGCCATTTGTTATTACTTGTGCTTTGTTATTACTTGTGCTTATGTTATTTAGCTTTGTAACAAGGGTTCTGCTTCTCAGACCACGCTGGTCTAATAAATCATGTTGTTCTTGCACCTTACCCTGTTTGTTTCATTCTTAACTACCCTAGTGATAGATACAGGAGGGGGAAGGACCTGCAGGTTAGCCCATCTTCTGAGTGGCCTCAGAAGGTAAACACCTTAAAATCTGTTTCAGGCTAACACTTTGATGCCATGGACTACCAGCTGCTCTAACATCTGCTAGAAACCAAACCAGCTCACAACTAGCCCCAGATTCTGGGGGCTGCAAATGTGGCTTAAGGTCACCTTTGCCTCCCTGTCTTGGGCTGAAGATTAGACTCAAGCCATAGAGCTAACATGTGATTTCAGAAAGGTTAGGTGCTGTGCTAGGAGGCCAAATTCTGATCTCTGTTACACCAATATGATTCTGGAGTAATATCATTGAAGCCAGTGGGGTTACTCCAAATTCATATAGACAAAATAATGATCAGAAACTGGCTCCTAGGGTTTCCTTACTTATCAGATATGCACGATCTTCACCTCCTATTTGTTTTGAGAATGTATAAAGCCAATCAAGTGTGGCCTTTTTTGGTTTATTTCTATAACTAAAATTAATACAGTGAAAATGAGGCAGGCTACTCTACCTCTCATCCAAACAAAAGGAAGAGCACAGTAGCTGGTCAAAGGGATGTTTGCTAATCCTGTTACTGTCATCATCTCATTTGTCAGCGTCCATATATGTGATTCTTCCCATTGTAAAAAGAAGCCACTGTTGAATATTAATGCTTCTCAGTATGAACAGGAAACCCAAACTGAGAATGAAACCCCTATCTGCTTCCATAGGAGGACGCTTTTCTGCTCCCTTTGAAGATAATCGGGGGATTGCCATTGATTTCAATGGGAGCAGGACAGGGCCCTGAGCCTGCTGCTGATGCTGAACATGTAGGTTTGAAGGAAGAAGCAACCTGCTCATCTGCAAAATCTGCTACAAAGGACCATTGAAATAATGGTTGGGAAGAGAGTGTTAGTCAAAAAGACAAAATTCGACATGAAATAGAAGCACTCCCCCACCACCACCTTGCACTCCCTTGAGACAATTTTAAAACACTGAGCCTTAAGGTTCAGTCCTGAGTAAGGGGTTGTACATAGCTACTCAGTCCCAGGATGAGGCCAAGGAAGGAATCAGAGGGTATGTCTACTCTGCAGTTAAACACCCATGGCTGGCCCATGCCAGCTGACTTGGGCTAAGGGGCTGTTTCATTGTGATGTAAGCATAGGGGCTCAAACTGCAGCCTGAGGTCTGGGTCTAGGGTGACCAGATGTCCTGATATTATCAGGACCATCCCGACATTAGGGGCTTTGTCTTATATAGGCAACTATATCCACACACACCCCACACCAAAAGAAGTGTCCTGATTTTTCACACTTGCTATCTGGTCACCCTATCTGGGACCCTCCCACCTTGTAGGGTCCTAGAGCCTGGGCTCAAGCCCGAACGTTTTCACCGCAATTAAACAGCCCCTTAGCCCAAGCCTCGCGAGCCCAAATCGGCTGCCACGGGCCAGCTGTGGTTTTTTAATTGCATTATAGACATACCTTGCATCACAACTCCTGCCCCGCTCCGAGGAATTAGTTATTTACTGCAGTCCTGAAAAAGACATAACTTGCTACACCCTTTATCCCAGTTCAGCTCTGCTAGCTGGCACTTTGATGGGACACGACCAAAGCTCTACCCATGCCCCTCCCCCAACCGCAAAAGGTGGTAATACTGATTTAGTCATTTTGCCATTTTCCTGCATTTGAATTAATCACCAAGGGTCACATGTCAGCTGACCTTCCATACTTGTGCAAGGCAGTGAGTGAATGAAAGAAGTTTAGGGCCTTGCATCCCTGTGCCACAGCAGTAACATCCTTGCATCCCTGTGCCACAGCAGTAACAATCACATTCCTTGTGCTCTCTAAATGCAAGGGCCAGAGAAGTATAAGCATCACTAGACAACCTCAAGGGGGAAAAGCAGAGCCATGACTCCTCCCATTTCTTTCCTGCCTTGGCGAGTGCAAGCAGCACGTGTTGAGCATAGACCATACCTTCAAAATGGAAGAGGAGGAACTTTTTTGAGCATGCACACCATGATGGTCGTCTGCTTCCCTGTGTGTTGTGTTGTGCTTTACCAGTGCACGTGTTCCCTTTGAAGGCTGCTTCTTATAAAGGCACAGAAAAGCTGCAAGTTAAAAATTAATTCACAATTTCACTATCTCCTCTCCTGCTTAGGGCTACTGACTTCTTTGGGCTTATCTACACAGGGAAATTCACTGGCATATCCCTACCACTACAATTATACTGGTATAACTCCCCATATGAACACATTTGCTGGAATAAGAATGCCTTTTCATGGTCAAGAGTGAAACTTTGGAGGGGTTTGGGGCCCTAAGTTAGGCCAGTAATAGGTAGAGAAAGATGTAACCTTACCCAAATCAAACCTTTAAAACTCTGGAGCTTTGCCCATCACTAGTATCTTCTCAGAGAGAACAATAGCAAATTGTCTTTTTAGTACAATAAAGCCAACAAATGTCATATGTATCTACTCTTCTCTGTTTATGATTCAGGAGGAGTGATGCAGACTGAGCAATCTGTGTGAGCTTACTGGGGCCAGGGTCAGCCAAAGATATGCCTTTTTCTATTGAAATATGTTGTACATACATACATTTCTACTTTCTACTGAATCTGTCGAGGATCTGATGCTCACGAAGGATGCCAGAGTGATAGTACTAAAGGCTGAAGTCTTATATTTATTCATAGAGTATGCACAACATGGATATCAGCATAAACAACCCTCAATCACACAACAGCTGTGCCTCAACCCTCTCCTGGATGAAGTCTCATTAGTGTCCAAAGAGCAGTTCAAGTTCCATGACCATTCAATTATTGTTATCTGTGATACAAGATACCAGTTAGTGCCAGCTGTGGAAATGTTGTCTGTGACATGGCCATGTGTCTGCTAGAAAGTGGACTAAGACCACCACCTCCTTTCACAAAAATCATGAAATTATCTACTTTCAGTAACAACTTCTGACATGAGCTAGGCTAAAAACAATCCAGTGATGAAAGTTTCCATATCCTATTATCAAAACCTTTAAGCCATTCAGACCTTCCACGCCCAAGGTTTGGATATAGAGTTGCAAGGGCTTTTGGAACCTATATGTTACCACAACACAGAGTGTACACTCTGCTGCACAAGGGATGAAAAGGGGAGAGGTTCATACCCGTTAGAGATTGTAGATAGGAAGGGGATGATTGTTACCGGGCAGCCATCTGCCCTGTAGGTCTAATGGAGAAGGGGAGCACTTGGCAGCCCACCAAAGAGAAGGAGGAGGAGCCTCTTCCACAAAGACAGTAAGGGTGTGTACAGTTTGAGGGCCCCAGTTGAGAAGAATGTTGCCTGAGGGAATGGACTGGCTGGGTGGGAAGGAGAGTTCTGAGTGCAGTGGAGGGTGTCAGGTGGGTGACATGCATGGGAGGCCTGGTCAGGTCAGGGGAAGTAAGAGTGCCAGGTAGTATAGACATGTGGGTGGGTTCTGAGAAGCCAGAAGGGGTGCCACCTTTCTGTCAGCCTTCATATGATTCCTGGGGGTGGGGGTGAGGGGGCATATTGATGAAGTTTACTTTTTCAAGACTGCTATGAGACTTTACCAGTCCAAAAGTGTTATAGATATTGTGCTGTCTTAGAAGAGATAATGATTTGTTTGTTATAAGGAAATTGCCACCCCCGTCTTCTCAATTTGGTCTAAATCACCACTAATTTCAGCCAAGGAACGCATTTTTCAACCCCCTCCGTATGTTTATCCATAGTTTATATTATCATTTGCTAAATATATTAAGCCATGCTATTTACTTCATTCTGCAGCTTCAAGACCTTTGCATGGCTTCTCAACGCCCTACAATTTTAACATATAAATCACTGGAAAAAGGCTGACCTCCCATTGTTTGCCTGTTTAGCTTTCCAAAGACTTCAGTAGGAAAAAAGCCATCAATTGAGACTGTTCATTTTACTGCCACCTCATCCAAATTATTTCAGCCAATAGGGCTGAAAATGACAAAGATCTGCAGTAGGGCTAAAATGTTCAAATTTACATGTTAGGTACTTAGAGTCAGATTTTCAAAGGTATGAAGAAGCCTAAGATGCAGATAGACTCCCCATGGTATTTTCAAAAGCCACGTGCCTAACTCCCTTTGAAAGCAATGGGAATTAGGCACCTAACTTGCTTATATGCTTTTGAAAATTCCACTAGGTACCTATATGCATCTTTAGGGGCCTAGATAACTTTAAAAATCTGGTTCCTAACTTCATATTTAGGCACCTATATTTAAGTTGCCTGGTTTTCATAGCTGCTGAGCAGTAGGAACTGTGAGGTCGCAACACCTCTGAAAATCAGACCACTTATTTAGGTGCTTAAATTAAAGCACTCAGGTTTGAAAATGTTGGCCTGTATATCTACTTTATACACATACACATGCCTATTAGGGAGTATGCTTTTAACTGTTTAGAGTATACTTACTGTGCCATATCATTATGTTATATAAGGCCACTTCACCAGCCTGTCCACTAACAAAGTCTATAATGATTATGCAGATTTCTTCTCCCTTGCACAACTAGGGCATACGGAATGAAGTAAAGCATATTAAAAGTGAAAACAAATTACAGTAATATTGTTAAAGTCACACTAAGGTTTTACTGCTTGATTAAACTCTCCTTGGAACATGTCTGTTCCTAAACATTAATGGGATCTATTCTCCCTAGGGATGCACAACATGTGAATGTATAGAGAGATGATGTCATCATCCCACATTAGCTCTAAAGGAAGCACTCTGTCACCTCAATGAAATGTCGCTGAAGAGTGGCAGGAGGCAGCAGCTGAACTTACTGCACGTGTTTAAGTCTAAGATTTCCAAAGGGTCCTTTGTTTGGTTCAGTCTGACAGACAAGTTTGGTTGCTTATAGGTGGTGGGACTTTAGTTTCCATAAGAATGCTATACTGGGGCTTAACAAACAATCCATTATATAATAGATTCAATTCACTTAGATTAGAGATGTCAAAAAAAGCAGGTATAGCATGGACTAAAGAATCCATCTTTAAAGCCTAGGCCAGAAGGTTTTCAAAGAAAATTACAGAGAAAGAGGAAAGTGAGGTTTTGTCAAGAAGTCATTGGGAACTGGCAGAAATAAAAGGGCAGATAATGAAGAACTGCACTGACCAGCAGTTACAGGATAAAAGTTTAGGAAGGGGGAAAGCCACTGAAATTAAAGCTGATGACAATTATTACTTAAGGATATGAAATGATTATGCTGTTGTTTGACCTGTAGACGATATAAGGAATTGAAGTAAAAGCAATTTGCCAGTTGCCCTTCCTATCAGGTACCTTCAGCCAGTTTCAACACAGAGTTCCCACATGACTACTCTAACTCAAATTTACAAACTAGGTAAGTGTTAAGACTTTGTTTTCTCTTTGGGTTTCACCTTTAAATTTCCAAGGAATCTGCCTATCTGGAGGGGCAGCTGCCATTTCGTGAGGCAGAATTAGTGCAGCATGTTGCATAGGAGACACACACCATGCTCTCTCATGGAGACACTACTAGGCACTATTCTTTTGTTGTTGTTGTTTTTTAGTTCCATGGAGTTATGCTGATTTACACCAGCTGAGGTTCTGGCCTAAAGTATATGGTTACTTCTTGTATTGATACAACATCCACCCACACAGTTAAAAACCTCTCATCCAGGCTCTCATCTCAATTTTGCAACATCCTCTTCCCTGGCCTTGACACATGCAAGCTTGCTCTGCTCATATCTGTTCAGAATGCTGCTTCAAAGGTCATTAGGAAATTAAACTGTAATGCTATCCCCCTCTTCTTCCGGGAGGTGCTGCACTAACCTCACTCTCCTAAAGCCAAGTTGCTGCCCCAAACAAGTGTCAAAAAGCCACTTCAGACAGTCAGTGTAGTTTAATTTTTTATTCACTATTTGTTATTTTTATTATTGTCATCCCTGGAGGGAATGACTTAGTGCTGTGAGCGTCAGATTTTAAATATCTTGACACTCTGGAACAGATTCCACAAATAGTGGCATGATTAATTCAGTCCTTCACCCTTCTCTGTAAGATAAGCTGAATATCATGCATTTTACTGTGGGACCATTTAAGTACTGGGATGTACAGAAAAGGTGACAGTGTAGCTCCTGAGATGGGCAGTGGCATTGCAACAATTTTTATAGTTGGGGTGCTGAAAGCCATTGAACAAAATTGTAAACCCTGCATCTAATGGAAACAATTTCATCCTAACACCTCTAGTTCCATCACCCTTGGAGATGGGTCAAATTTGTGCTATTTCCAATTAAGTTCAGCAGTACCTTGGAGAACAAAATTAACTTCATATTCAGTACATGGCTCTGGAGCAGCTTCTGCAGCCCCTGCTCAATTGCCGTTTCTTATCACTGTACAAAAAACAATTTACTGCCCACAGTAAATTATAAACAAAAAAATGTGTGTCAAGCTTTAAGGTCTACATATACCATCCCTGCAAAATACACAGTGATCCAAGTGACGATCATTCACAGTTATGTTTCCATACACAAAGAGCAAGGTCTCATTCTCCATTAACTTAGGCCAGTGTAAACAAGAGTAAATCCATTTACATCCATTTGTCTTCACTGCTGTAAGTGAGGGGATAATTATACCCTTTCAGAATAAATAAAATAATTTGATTTTTAAATTTAAAAAAAAAAAGAAAGAACAAAAATAAAGTCTCCATGAGACTGGTGTAAATTGGAGTAGTTCCATTGAAGTCCATTGGATCTACACTGATTTACACCAGTTGAGGTTCTGGCCCAGAATATGTAGGTCCTCTGTAGCAAGAGCAATTTTGAGAATAAAGTAATTGTCTTCGTAGAACTGTGAAGATGCAGTACTTAATTTGGCATTGGAATAGTTGTAAACGTTACACGGTGTCACTAGTCAGTCAGGGGGAAGTTTGAGGACTTGCAGTGTCATTAATCAATACATATTAATTATTTGAGGATGGTTAGGGACTTATACACAGCTTCATTATCAATTATAATTTGGGGGTGATTGTGGCAAGGATTTTATGTCACAGAGTCATTAATGCTTAATTATGCGAGGAGAGTTCAGGGGAGGTAGCCGGGGTCATATTCTGCTTTCCTTTATATGAGTTAGAGTGATCGGGCATCCCGCTATTACCAGCACCATCCCGATTTAGGGCTTTGTCATATATGCAACTATACCCCTCCCATCCACCCCCAAAAAAGTGTTTTGATTTTTCACACTTGCAATCTGGGCACCCTAACACCGGTATAAAATCTGAGTAACCCCAAATCACTCCAGATTTAAACGAGATTAACACAGTGCAGAATCTAGCCCATTTCCCTTCACAATTTACTGCTAACTAGTTGGGAGTAGCTTGGGTCATTAATGATCCCTTATGATTATTTGGGGGCAGCTGGCTGGTGTACCGGGTTTTTGTTAGTTAGTTGTATAGGTTATGGGCCCAGCCAGATAAATCTGGGGCATGTGCGCTCTCCCATTTCCCTTTATTTACACATGGAGGTTACAGGCGTTTTTTGGATGGGGGGCTGATTTTAGGGCCCTGGTGCAACTGCCCACCCTTTGCTCCGCACTCGCATCACCAATGGGGCCAGTGACTCTCCCTGGGGGTGAGGGGAGGGAGTCCTGCAGGATCAGGGGGAGCGATCCCCTCCGCGCTGCTACTCCCCCCGCCCTCGGATTATGTGCTGAGGGCCAGGCACCAGCCCGGCAGCGAGGGAGGCGGTGGCTGGGGCCAGGTGGATGTTGTGTGTCGGGCTCTGCGTCAGCGGCGGCTGCTGCAGGACACAGGCTGGCGTCAGAGGCCGCCTGGTGACACATTCTTCCTCCACCAGCGGCTGGGAGCCGGCGCTGGACGGAAGCGCGGGGACGTGCTGCTCTGCAGCGCTGCGCGGGGCCGGGGCGGGCGGGGAGACAGCCGGGAGCAAGAGGGGAGGAGGAGGTGGCCACGGGGAAGAGGGCAGCCTCACCCCCGGCTGACCCGGGTGAATCATGCTGCTTCCAGCTGCCTCCTAAAGGACAAAAGGCAAATGCCGCGCTCTTTGTTCGGCTTCCCGGGTCTCAATAGGTTTGCGAGCGCTGCAAGGGGGAGCGGAGGTGGGTCCCGCTGGCGGCTGCACGTCCTGCACTCTCCCGTCCCGCCGCTCCCTGCCCCGCGCATATGCGCTCCGGGCCGCTGCCTACCTACAGCCCTGCTGGGTTTCCGCCCCGCCCCGCCCCGTCCCGTCCCCTCCCCTCCAGTCATTGTCTGCTCGCCGCCTCTGTGGCGATGTGCGAAACGTGCGGGCTGCCTGCTTCTGGCGAGTCTGGGGTTCCCGTCCTGCTAGGTGGTAACTCGCTGCAGATCCTCGTGCTCTTTACGTGCCGAAATGTAAAGGATTTGGCAAAAGTTCTTAATTACAGGCTTCTCTAATGATCCCTCTGCCTTGGGCAGGAATACATAGCCTGGGCAGCGTTCGGCAGTGAATGGAGCATGTAGCCACACAAAGACAGGAAACTCACAATGTCCGCATTGTTATTATTATTTATTATTAATATTTAGAAAGCCCCACCCTAATAACACTTCGCACACCAGGTGAGGCTTGTGAAAGGGGAAGCAAATTTCCCTGAGCAACACATCCCTGCTCAAAGTGCTGTTTTGCTTCTGTCGCTAGCCGTGCAACTATTTTATTAGTATTATATTAACTCCTCTAGTTTACTGGATTTTTGCATAGCTGAAAAGGGATCGGTTTTGACATGCTTAGATTAAACAAAATACCTAAAAGCATTAGATTTTTCAAATGTAACATCAAACTTCCTAACCTATAAAGTGTTTCAGCCCTAGGTCAACGTTGTCTGGGACTGAATAAGTGAAGGCTTCTGGCTGCTTTTATAAAATGTTTTCTCTCTCTGTTTTCAGTTTCATATCATATTTCTGTGTTACCCAAGCATTTAATCCCTCTGTTTTTTCTTACTCTCAATTTACAGTTATTCTTCAGGCACATTACAAAAGATGGATTTTATTACAAATGAGTGAAACAGCCTGAAATGCCCTCTACATAATCGTGTGGGAAATTCAATTAGGCTCAAATTCTGGGGATCGGCACACAGCTGAGTCCAGAAACGTGTACCGTTCTCCTGCTCAGGGCACTCTGGGAGTCATTTCAGAGCCATTACTACTGAAGTCCTGAGGCTGTAGACACAGCATGACTCTGTAGCTCCAATATGGGCCGTCTCTGGGAGGGGGAGGATAGGAAGATTCAGGAAGCAGTTATCCTATCACCCTGTTCCCTCCTGTATTGGCATACAAAGGTCCCCAAGGACTGAGCTTTGTGCTGTATGTGAGGACTACGCACACTGTGTTCCCCCTGGAATCTTGCCTCCTTAATGTGCAGCTGGTAGGAAATCCTCCCTGGCCTCAGTGCCAGGAGCTAGATTTCCCCTTGTAATCGAAAGAGGACCTCTCCTTTAAAAAGAGTTAACTAGGCTTCACTTAAAATAAATTAACTATTCACACATTTTTTTGAAGCTGATAAAATAAAGGGCTGAATACAGATATAGGTTATTTTTGGAGGCCTATTTTAATCTTGGAGCTGTGGGAAGAGCTCACCAGAGCAATGAATGGGTCCGCCCCTTGAGGTAAGGGAAGGGCCACAGAAACTTGAATTTTAGTGATTATGGAGGACAATTATGGAGGTTGGAATCCCCCTCTATAGAATAAGTAAAGGCATAGGTGCTAGAACCAGAGGTGCGGGGGGTGCTACCGCACCTCCTGGTTTGAAGTTGTTTCCATTATATGCAGGGCTTACAGTTTGGTTCAATGGCTCTCATCACCCCCACTGTACAAATGGTTCCAGCACCCCTGAGTAAAGAATATGGCATTAGGTAAGTATAGGTAAAGCAACAGCTCTGCTCCACTAGTCTGCTTCAAATCTGATTTGGAGAGATCAGTAGGCCTAAAAGCATAATGGCCATACAGGGTCAGACCAATGGTCCATCTAGCGCAGAGGTAGGCAACCTATGGCACGCGTGCCGAATGCGGCACGCAAGCTGACTTTCAGCGGCACTCACACTGCCTGGGTCCTGGCCACCGCTCTGGGAGTTCTGCATTTTAATTTAATTTTAAAGGAAGCTTCTTAAGCATTTTAAAAACCTTATTTACTTTACATACAACACTAGTTTAGTTATATATTATAGACTTACAGAAAGAGACCTTCTAAAAATGTTAAAATGTGTTACGGGCACGCGAAACCTTAAATCGGAGTGAATAAATGAAGACTCGGCACACCACTTCTGAAAGGTTGCCGACCCATGTTCTAGCACAATATCCTGCCCTCCGCACCTGGCCAATGCCAAGAGGTTCAGAGGGAATGAACACAACAAGATAATTATCCCGTCATCCATTCCCAGCTTCTGGCAGTTAGAGGCTAGGGACACCCAGAGCATGGGGTGGCATTCTTGACCATCTTGGATAATAGCCTGTGATGGACCTATCCTCCATGAATTTATCTAATTCATTTTTTAACCCAGTTATAGTTTTTGCCTTCACAACATCCCCTGGCAACGAATTCCACAGGTTGACTGTGCGTTGTGTGAGGAAGTGAGAGAGTATTTTACTTTCCATATCCACTCAGTGTTTGTTCCCTGCGGTGAACTGCCAACTAGGTTGCCAGTTTGCATATAAATTTCCTGGGACAAAAAATGGTCAATCCCATTCGCCTTTTGTCAGATTATAAAAATGTAGCATGTTGTTGAAGGTGGATCCTTGTTAGATTACGTGTCTCTCAAACTCTCCCGCTTGTCATACATTTTCTGTTGTTTTCCCTTTTATTTTATGTTTCTATAGCTCTCTGCACAGTGGGGCTCTGATTCTAATTGGGGACTTTGAGTATTACTGTTATCACTATTATTTATTATTAGTAATATAACCCCATTACAATCTATTGTAACTATAATCACAAAACTAGGGGGAATGTAAAGCTATAATTTGATTATATATTATTTTATGCTAACCTTCAAATCCATAGCAGATATATATGAAAATAAGTAGAAATAATATTTATAATAAAGCAAACACATTCATATACAGTAAAAGCTGTGTTATCAGGTCCTGCACCAACTGGTAAGCTCTATAACTCGGCATTTCTAATCTTCATAGAAAGTCCAATTTATAGTCTGGTTGGCACGGGGCCAGCAGGCTACCTACTGGCTTCACGTGGCTCCCTGGAAGCGGCGACATGTTCCTGCTGCTCCTAGGCGGAGGGGTGGTTAGGTGGCTCTGCGCACTGCCTCCACCCACAGGCACCGCTCCCAGAGCTCCCATTGGCCGTGGTTCCCAGCCAATGAGAGCTGCGGAGCCAGTGCTTGGGGCAGGGTAGGGGCAGCGCACAGAGCCACCTAGCCATGCCTCCACCTAGGAGCAGCAGGGACAGGTCACTGCTTGTGGGGAGCTGCCCGAGGTGAGCGCCGCCTGGATCCAGCACCCCAAAACCCCTCCTGCGTCTCAACCCCCTGCCCCAAGACCCCACTTGTACCCAAACTCCCAAAGCCCACACCCTGTACCCCCTCTGTGCCCCCTCCCCATGTCCCTCCCACACCCAAACTCCCTCCCTCTTAGTTAACCAGAATTTTTCACTTACC